TCTCTCTCTCTCTCTCTCTGTCTCTCTCTCTCTCTCTCTGTCTCTCTCTCTCTCTCTCTGTGTGTTCCTCTCACACATCATCATCATCATCATCATCATCATCATCATCATCATCATCATCATCATCTGCTAACTAAAATGGCGCTCATATGACCTTATGCAGTTGCGAGCGCCGTAAAACGTCTACTAAAACAAAAACAAACAATCATCATCATCATCATCATCACCCCCATCACAGCTACACTAACCACCAATCCTACTACCTCCTCACAATCGACCGACCGACCTCTCTTGACCCCGCACAAAGGTCAAGGGTGAATGACCTCCCATGCCGCGCGAAGCCCCACTGACCTATGTAATCCGCGTCAAAATTCTGCTCGTTGTTCCTGAAGCCAGGGATGAGCCGCTCCAGGGACCGCACGCTCAGAGACACCAGGACCAGGGCCGCCTGGAACCACCCGCGCTGCTTCCACTGTTGCCATGGGAACGGCTCGTCGCAGATTCCGCCCACTCCTGTCAGTTTCGGCTCTTCTCTGATTTCCTGTTGGGGAAGAGTAATTGTTCTCGTGACATGAGGGATAGGAGGGAGGGTGAGAGTATGCAAAGACGTATCTGTCTGCATTTAAGATGCCCCGTGCAGATCTTCAAAGTGTTGGGTTTTACCATTTCAAAAAGAAGAGGGGAAACATTACGAGTATTTCTTTTTTTTTGGTTTTTGTCATTTTAAAAATTTTATTTTTTTATTTTATTATTTTATTATTTTTTTAATTTATTTTTTTTTTGCTTCTGTTTTGTATTTTCCCCCGCCTCTTAAATAACCTAATAGTGTTGATAGGGGCGTTAAACATATACCATTTCACCATTATTATTTTTTTTTGGGGGGGAGGTATTTTGTTCCAACCCAAAGTGCCACCGGGGTAAAAGCATAGACTTAATAATACGCCTGGACTGCATGCTGTCATGGCCGCTTTCCTTCCGGTAGTGGAGAAAAATTGCTGCAAAGCGTCAGCAAGATGGACGGGCACCAATACGTCCAAACAAAGGACAAGGGGCTCTCGTGGCCTAGAGGTTAAGGTGTTGGCCTCTTACTCAAAAGGTCCCGGGTTCGAATCCGGGTAGCGACCGAAAAATATTCTTCTCTAAATTTGTCTCCTTTCACCTCATTTCCTGCTCTCTAGTAATGTTCTGTCCTCTGCTTTCGTCTCCTCCTTCTGCCCCCACCCCCACAATTCCTTTGCCCCTTCCTTTGGGCTCCTGATTCTTTCTGCAGCCTTTCTACTGCTACCCATTGGCTTCTTCTTACTGCTGTTTTTT